GGTGGGCTTAGGGTTAGCCTGATTCATGAGAGGGGATTTCCAGGACGTTCTCTGGAAAGTCTGGGGTTAAGTAGTCCTTGACTTAGGGCCACAAAGGATGTCTTAGGGCCCCCCAGCATCCCCGCCCCCATCCAGGGGCAAGAGCCTGAGCTGCAGCCCAGAAATACAGGGAAATTCAGCTCTCTTCTAGACTCCAATGTTAGCTAGTCAAGCTGTCCTTTTAAATTAGACTGATCCTAGTGATCAGATGCAGTCCTCAATGAATAATTAATAAATGATGCAGAAGAAAGTGGGGATCAATTTTCAGTTTCACCTCTGGGTGAAGCAAAGGAAACTGAGAAGGAACAGTCAGGGAAGCAGAAGGAAAACTGGGAAGGACGGCTAGCCAAGCTTTGAGTGAGCCATTCTGGTGCAGTGATGAGGTCAAAGACAGACTGGAGACTTCAGCAAGAGAGGCAGAGGAGTGAAGGCAGCCGGTGTAGAGATCAGGCCCATGGGGGTCAAGGGGAGGCGGCGGAAAGGCTGGCAGGAGAGAGGGTGGGGAGGATGGGGGGCAGTCTGTTGGAGGAGAAGGGACGGAATGGGATCTGTTGGCCACGTAGGATGCTTTGGAAAGGGGAGGGCCGCCCCTTCCCGAGGATGGGAGTGAAGGAGGAGAAGGGGGCAGAAGGCATGGGGGAGATGTTCGCACGTGTGTGGTTGGCATGCCCCTGAGCTTAACCAACGTGAGTGCGCCAAGTTTCATCTTGTGTAAGCTGTCTTGTGGTAGCAGCCGTGGGATAGTAAACCCTCCGTATCAATAGCCCAGGTTGGACTCTGGACTCTCTGTGATGTGTGGGCGGGATCCCTGCCCTGCCTGGATCTTAGACCCACCCAGAGGCCAGCTGACTCCTCTCTGGGCTTCCTACTGCGGGGCAGAGCTGGGTGCTGGGGGCAGCCTCTTTCCTTTGGAGCTGCCTTATGGGGCCCTGGATGGAATGTTTGGGACTGCTTGTTTATTCAGTGAGTGCGTTCAGCATCCGCTCACGTAGCATCTGCCTGTGTGCAGGGTACTGGGGACGAAAAGACAGAAGGAAGCGGGCTCTGTCCTCCGGGGCCCACGTTCTGCTGGGGACTGCCTGGGGAGAGCTTTCTATGGAGGCTGAACCTGATAGGAACCGGGGCCTGGCAGAAAGCGAGCCTTCCAGGCCCGAGGGACGAGGCCCAGGGCTGGAGGCCGTTCTGGAGACTTGGGGCTGGAGCTTAGAACTTTGGGAGGGTACACAGATGGTGGAGTAAGGCCAGCAGGAGTAAGGGTGGGTTAGGAGCAGGAAGACAGATCTCCCCCGTTGCACTGCCGGCATTCCCTCCACGTAATGTACATTGTTCTCCTGGGTCTGCGTAATTCACCTTGTATCAGTTCATGGAAATCTTCCCAAGAACAATCTGTGTTTGCTCTTAGGGGCTCCGATGGGCAGCCACAGATGGTTTATGTTCAGGGCAGGGCCTTGGGAGGCACTTTGTGATCTCTAAGTGGTTATGCCGAGGTAGTGGACGATTGGAAGCTATTTTAGCCTTCCCAGGCTGGACGTCCTTCCTTCCTGCTTCGACCGGGAGCATCTCCCTTTGCTCCTCTGCCACCAGCAGCTGCGTTGGACTTCCCTGGGCTCTGGCGTTGGCTTTCGAGGTCTCCAGCTATCCGGAGGCTCTGAAGCAGGAGCCCTGCTCCCTGCTTCCTGCCCGTGAGGCCAGGAGTTCTGGGCTCTTGGAGCTGAACAAGCCCCAGGGCTCTCTGGCCTCGTCCGCTAGAGCCCATCTGAGCCGGACTGAGGATGCATCTGTATTGCATCATGTTTTATCATGTTGCCAGTTACGCCCCGCCAAGCCTCAGCCTTGGATCACTCCCACCGTGCGTCACGACCTTGGTGCCTACGCGTTGCTGCCAGACGAAGGTGGAGAAAAGCCTCCACTGGGCCCTCGCCACTGCCTGGCAATCCTGCTCTGCCTCCCTCCAGCCCTTCTCGCCGCCTCAAACCTCCCATAGCTCCGGCGTCCTGTTTTATGGGGCCATTTGCGTGAGCGCCCCTTTCTGGCCTCCCATCACTCAGGCGCCTTCTGTTTCTCCTTGTGGTTAATGCAATTCAGTAAACATGTCTTAAGCGCCTCCTGTGTGCCTGGCGCTGTGCCAAGCGCTGGCCAACCCTGTTCTTGGGTTCGCTGGTGAGGCACAGAGCTTCTGAGCCAGGCTGGTCCCATTGGTCATCTCGTCTATCCCGTTCTTTTTTCAGATGAGCAAAGTGAGACCCCTGGAGGGGAAGGGTCTTCTCCAGCTGCTAGGTCATTAGACATCAGCCTCCTGACCCCCACTTCAGGCTTCTGGTGTTCTCTGTTTCTGGGCTGGCCCCTGGGCTGCTGTTTCTGTGCCTCAGGGGCCCTTGGTCCATTTGGAAGGCTCATGCTGCTGCTGGTCTTTGGTGGTCAGAACTGGCCTGAGGGCCCTGGTCACCCTTATCTTGACCCGTGAAGCTTGGCGGGTGGGTTTGCTTTAGAAGGAAATCTGACCCGTAGGTGTCAAGAGCCCTGGGCTGGGGCGGGGTGCTTCGGAAGGTGTTCTGGCTACCCGCCGCTGTGGGGGGCAAGAAGCAGGTCGGGGCTCCCCTCTAAGTGCTCGTCAGAGAGGGCTCAGTGAGCCCCGGCCCTCATTTCCTCCGTCTGGCCTGGGGCAGAATGAGAGAGGGGGACCATGGGGCATCCTGACCAGGGTGGATGGCAGGTGCCTACCCAGGCTAGGGGCTGCTCTGGGCAGGGCACTGCTGCTCAGGACACAGACTGGCTGGATCGCCTTGGGGCTCATTTGCATAGAGCTGATGACTGAGCCTATGGGAGCTGGTGAGCATTGGGTGGGCAGGGGAGGAGGGCGGAGGCTGGAGGGCGAGCAGCTCAGGCTCCCTCCTGGGCACCGAGGGCCACAGCCATGGCCGGTGAGGGTGGCCTGCAAGAGCATTCGTCCCCGGAGCCTGAGGGCGACTGGTCAGACAGGTGGGAGGGAGCGCCTGGCGGTCAGGAAGGGGCAGCACTGAACAAGAGCCCCTGGGAGGTCATTTGAGGGAAGATTCGCCCCACTGGCAGAGGAGGTAGCAGGTGGGTGGGCGGAAGGGGCAGGGAGGGTCTTTGTCAGGATGGGGGGAGGGGAGGGGGTCATCCTGGGGTGGAGAAGGGCCACCTCATCATGGGAGGGGGAGGATGGCCCCTTTGTTTCTGTAAAGGAGGAGGCAGGTTCTCAGCTGGTGAGGGGAGGACAGTGCCCTGGGTGAACGGGTTCACCCAGAGGTTGCAATGTGGAGGGGACACAGTGTAGCCAGCTGGGTGACGACCTTGGACAGAAGGAGGAGGTCACCCAGAGGGCAGAGCCAGGAGGAGTCGGGAGGCCAGGCAAGGATGCAAGGGTGCATCTCTTCATGTCCTCCCTTCTTTATCCAGTCTCCTTCCTTTTCTCCCCTCCCCCACCTCTCTGGCTCCCCTTTCTCCCTTCTCTTCCTTCTATTCCTCCTTACCCCCTCCCCTTCCCCCTTCCCCCCTCTCCTTCCCCCTCCCTTTCCCCCCTTCCCCCCTCTCCTTCTCTTCCTCCTTTCTTCCTTCTCCTTCCCCCTTTCTTCCTCTTCTCTTCTTCCTTTCCTCCTCCCTCCCCTCTCCTCATTCTCCTTCCCCCCTCCCCTTCCCCCCTTCCCCCTCTCTCCTTCTATTCTTTTCTTCCTTCTCCTTCCACCTTTCTTCTTCTTCTCTTCCTCCTTTCCTCTTCTCTTCCTCCTTTCTTCCTCCTCCCTCCCCCCTCCTCATCCTCCTACCCCCCTTCCCCTTTCCCCCTTCCCCCTTCCCCCTCCTCCTTCTATTCCTACTTTTTCCTTCTCCTCTCTTCCTCTTCTCTACCTCCTTTCTCTCCCTCTCCCTCCTTCCCTTTTTTCCTTCTTCCTTTTCTTCCTCCTTCTCTCCTTTCCTCCTTTTCCTCTTCCCTCTCCCTTTCTCTCCTGTTTCTCCTCTTCTTCCCCCTTTCCTCCCCTCCCCTCTCCCTCCACCCTCTTCCCTCCTTCTTTCTCTTTCCTCCTTTTCCTTCTCCCTCCCCCTTTCTCCTTCTCTCTCCTCCCTTTGTCCCTCTCCACTGTTGCCGTCTTGATTTCAGGATTGATCTCAGATAGAGCCGGTGTGTCCAGCAGACTGAGCCTGGCCCATTGTCTGGTGCTTGGGAGACTTTTCCTGGCTTCAGCGTCACTCCCTGTTCCCCGATTGTCCCCTATGCCATGAGTTCCACTCTCTGGAGCCCTGGAGAGGCCACATGGGTAGCATGGAGTTAGGGATGGCTGGACGCTTGCTGGCTGTGAGACCAGGACCAAGGCCTTGGCCTTGCTGAGCCAAGTTTGGGGGCTCTTGTGTGTCCCGAGCGAGAGTGAGCTGGTGCAGTGAACACAGCCTGAGGACAGGCCCTTGTTCCCCTACGTCGGCCAGGGGGCCGGTGATGGCTTGCCGCGTGACCTTTGGCTATCCACGTCCGTCCGTGTCCATCCGCTGGGGCAGGCCAAGGAGGTCAGCCCTGTCTTCCCTGTCCTGATGCCAGGGGCTGCCATTTTGTGCCCCACTCTCTGGGTCTGGGAAGGAAAACCAATCAGCTTGCCGTCTCGTTTGATATCTCCCTGCCTGCCCTCAGCCCTGCATCAATGCCCCTCTGGCTGTTCTGGCGGCCCCTGGAAACAGCACTGGCCTGGGGGACCTTCTCTAGGCCTCAGTTTCCATCTCTGTAAGTAACAAAAAGGGTTTGGTGGAGAAGACCAGTAAGGCCCTCTTAGCTGTGAATGCAATGGACTGACACCCTGACTTTATCTCTGTGGCATGTTTGCATAGCTGGACCAAAGTCCAGCATATGTGCCAGGTGATGATCCCCAGCCTCGGGCTTCCCAGATATGCTGATAAATACAGGCAGTCACCCGTTTGTTAGTGAGGCCCCGCCCTATCCTGCCCAGCCCAGCCTCCCTGCAGGGTGTGAGTACTAGAGCTGGGGCCTCAGCCAGGAAGAAGGCAAAGGGGGTCCTCCCCCCCCATCCCCCAGGCTTTTCTGCATCCCACTTCTTTTTCGAGGGGCTTTCTGGAGGGCCAGTGGGGCTGTTGCTGCCTTATGCCCTGTGAGAGGGAGGCAGGGGGGCTTGTCTTATGCACCCCTCTGTAGACCCCCGACACCTCAAGCTGCTGGTGGGGGATGCTCACAAGGCATTTCTCTTGGGTCTTGCTCCGGTAGAGGTGAAAGCAGACTCCTTTGGGGGCTGCCCTGAGCTTTCACTCCCCCGAGGAAGGTCCCTTCACCAAGACAGACCTGTGCCCACTCTGCCCCCAGCGTAGAGCCTTCAAGAGCTGCCTGGGGCACGGCCAGTTTGGGTCCCAGGCAGGACACGAGGTTGTGGTGTCTTGCAGGCTGTTTACTGAAGGTAATTTATGGGCTGGACGCCTGTACCTGGGGAGGGAGGAAGGGATAGAGAGACAGGGAAGGGATGGGAGGGGGAGGGGGAGAGAGAGAGAGAAGGAAAAAGGAGAGGGGAGGAGAGAAAAGAAAGATGAAGAGGATAGAGGGGAGAAAGAGATGGGATAGGGGAGAGAAAGAAAGGAATGTGAAAAGAGAGTCTAGAGATAGGGAGAAGAGAGGGAGAGGAAAGAGAAAGATTGGAAGAGGGAGAGAGGAAAAGAGAGGAGGGGAGAGAAAGATGGGGAGGGGGAGAGAGAAGCAAAGGTGAGAGAGAAGGAAGGAAAAAAGGAAAGAGAAAGGGAGGGAGGTAGATACAGAGAAATGAAAATGAAAGTAAAAGAGATGGGGAGAGAGGAAAGAGAAAGAGGGGGAGGGAGAGGGAAAGAGAAAGAAAAGAGAAAGGAGAGGAAAGGGGGAGGGAGAAAGAAAGGAAAAGGGAGAGAGAGGAAGGAAAAAGGGGGAGAGAGAAAAGAAAGACGAAGAGGATAGAGGGGGGAAAGAAATGGGATGGGGAGAGAAAGGGAGGTGAAAGGAAAAGAGAGTCTGGAGATGGAGGAGAAAGAGGGAGAGGAAAGAGAAAGGATGGAAGAGAGAGAAAAAAAGAAAGGAGGGGAGAGAAAGATGGAGGAGAGGGAGGGAGGCAGAGGTGAGAGAGATGGAAGGAGAAAAAGAGGAAAGAAAGGAAAAGGGAGAAGAGAGGAGAAAGAAAGGGAGGGAGGTAGATACAGAGGAAGAAAAAAAGGGGGAAGAGGGAGAGAGAAAGAAAAAGGAAAAGGCAGAGGGGGAGGAGAGAGGAGAGAGGTGGGTGTAGATACATCTGTGGCGTCCCCACCTGGCACACACACTTTGCCTGTCTTTCAGCAGGAGGCCCCTTCCGTTGGAAAGAAAGGAGGGAGTGAGGGGTGGGAAGCCATAGATGTTTGGGCTCTTGTTGGTGTTTAGAGGGGCTGGCGGAGCCTGGACTGGGCAGAGGCCTGGGGCCGTGTCCTCTCTCGGCTTCAGGTCTGCCGGTCTGGCCAGTGCCCTCGTGTTTGGAGACGGCCTTTCATCGAAGGATGAAGGCTGAGGGTGCACCAGAGCAGCCGAACTCGCTTGGCCTCTCTTCCCGTTTGCCGCGTGGCGGTGCCCCAAGCATCCGCGCCGGCCGTGGCGGGCATCCTCTGCTCGTCTCCTATTCTCTCTTGTTCGGTCATGGTCAGTGTGGTTCCTCAGTCTTTCTTTTCTCTTTATCTTTCTTTCTTTCTTTCTTTCTTTCTTTCTTTCTTTCTTTCTTTCTTTCTTTCTTTCTTTCTTTCTTTCTTTCTTCCTTCCTTCCTTCCTTCCTTCCTTCCTTCCTTCCTTCTGTCCTTCCGTCCTTCCGTCCTTCCGTCCTTCCGTCCTTCCCTGGGTCACACAGCTAGTGAATGTTATGTGTCTGAGGCCGGATTTGAACTCAGGTCCTCCTGACTCCAGGGCCGGTGCTCTATCCACTGCACCACCCAGCTGCCCCTAGGAGCTCTTTTCACATGAGTTCTTCCCCAAGTCATGTGTGGCTTTGGGTTTTCTGAAGACTGGGCTATTGGGTTGGGTTGGATTGCCTGAGGATTTTTCCTATGCTGTATGCATTTGTGTAGGGACCTCTCATCTCCCCCTTTAGGATGTAAATTAGGTGTGGGGAGGGACAGCTTCAGGCTTGTGCTTGGGACCTTTGAGCTGGCACAGTGCCTGACGGTGCAGGGACTCAGGAAGTACTTGGCGATCCCCTGGTGGTGGTTTTGACGATTCTTGTTCTGTAGGGTCATTGGAGGGCTGCACGTGTGGTCCCCCTTCATTCTTCTTTTCCTTTTGGGCTGCGGGCCTCCTGATCAGCTTTGGGATGCGTCGGTTGGGTTTTAATGCTGCGTTTCCCCAGAGCGGCGGCGTGCTGCTGTGGACCTCCTTGTTCTTCCACAAGCTTTTTAAATCGGCCACCAGGGTGTCTGTGCCCTGCCTCCCGTGTGTTGGGGGCTAGGGTGATGGTGACAAAGATGGCCTGCCTGGGCCTGCCCGCGAGGACCTTACGCTTCTCAGGATGAGGCGTGTGGTAGAGACAGGTAGTAGACACGGTGATGCCCGTGCCTGGTAAGGAAGCGGTTTTCAGATTTCTCAGGAATTTGGGCAGAAGCCCTGAAAACCGCGAGTTGGCACTGCCGCTGCTGTGGGTCACATGTCACACAAACGGAATTTTTGTGTTCTCTAGCAGGTGGACATCGCTGCCACCTCCCTCTGCCCCATCCCAGGTGGGGCCGTCCACCCGTCAGTCAGTGGGTCAGTTGGCAAACATTTGGTAATACCTATTATGTGCCAGGCACTGTGCTAAGGACAGGGGATACAAGGAAGGGCAGAAACACAGTGCCTGCCCTCCAGGAACTTATGTTCTGATGCCAAGACAACCTGCCAAAATACTGCGTCAGTATGAAATGAGCTCATTCAAGAAACACTGCCCTCTGGGCCCGTGGAGATGCCACTGATTAATTCAGCCACGAGGAGGCTCCTTCCTGGGCAGCCCCGGGAGTTCCTTCATGAGCGGCCGGCCTGTGTCTCTCCAGGACAGGGAGGCGCGCGGGGCACCGAGCGCTCTAGAGGCTCTCCCAACATCCTTCTGCTGCCGCCCGCGGCCCGGGCGTGCGCATCCCCTGCTAACCCCTTCCACGGCCCCTCAGACACTTGCTGGGGGTGGAAAGGGGTGGAACCCTGAGCACTCACTGGTAGAGTGAGCTCTTCCAGGGCCGAGGCCTCCCCGGGTGGGCTTCCCTGCCTCTGAGGGACAGGAGCCTGCCCCAGAGAAAGCCCCCTGGTGCCGGAGGGAGATGAGGGCATCGAGTGCTGGCAAAGGAGGCGCAGTGCATAGAGCGCCGTGCTTGGAGTCAGCCTCAGACGCTGACTAGCCGGGTGACCCGGGGCGAGTCACGTCACCGCTGCTTGCCCCAGTTGCCTTATCTGTCAAATGGGTATAATCACAGCATTGACTTGTCAGGGTGGCGGTGAGAATCAAGTGAGATTATATTTGTGGAATGCTCAGCACAGCACCCGGCGCGTAGTAGGTGCTTGTAAAGGTTAGCTTCATCATCATCATCAGCTGTGTGACCCTGTGCAAGGCACTTGACCTCTGTGGGGCTCGGTAGTCTCGCCTGTGAAATGGGGTAATCACGGCACTGACCTGCCACGGTGGTGGTGAGGGCGTCCCATCAGTATGAGGATAAATAAAGTGCTCTGTGAAAAGCCTTGGAATGCTGCACAGAGAGGAGCCGTGAGGGTCGCTGCTTTTTGTTGCTGGAGACGGGCGTCTCCAGAACTGGAGAGCCCAGTGAAGTGGAGGGCTTGGGCCGGCCACTCGTGTGCGTGGGTCTGGAAGGCTAACAGGACGCCATGGGGTGTGTGTGTGTGTGAGAGAGAGAGAGTGTATGTGTGTGAGTTTGAGTGTGTGTGTGAGTGTGTGTGTATGTGTGTGTATGTGTGTGTATGTGTGTGTGACGCAGCCACCGCCACCATGTGTGAGCGTGTGTGTGTGTATATGTGTTTGTGACGCAGCCACCGCTGCTGTGTGTGGGTGTAAGACAGCCACTGCCCCACTGCCACCGTGTGTGTGTGTATGTGTGTGTTTTAGTGTGTGTGTATGTGTGTGTGACGCAGCCTCTGCCGCCGTATATATGATGCAGCCGCTGCCGTGTGTATGTGAGAGACACAGCCACTGCCACAGTGTGTGTGTGTGTGTGTGTGTGATACAGCCGCCGCTGTGTGTGTGTGTGAGAGAGAGAGTGAGATATGCAGCTCCTGCCGCCCGGCTCGGTGGGATCCCACGGGGGGGGGGGGCGCGTCTTTCCTCCGCCAGCTTGGCTTCGAGAGCGCGTGCGGCTGCTGGTCAGCCCTGGCTGCCCCCAGCCCGGCTCGAGCCTAATGCTGTTTGTTTCTCTGCCTGCACAGAATGGACCCGGCGACCTATGCTGAGTATTTGAAAGAATCTGGAAACCAGATTTTTAAGAGTGGGAACTTCTCCTTGGCCATCAGAAAATATGATGAGGCCATCCAGGTGCTGCTGCATTTGTACCACTGGTGAGTTTCCAGCTTCTCCCCTGGGGGAGGAGAGAGGCTGGGTTCCCTCCTCCCGGCCAGGCTTGCTCTGTCGGGGCTGCTGTCCCCAAGCGGCCCCTGGGGGCGTGAGGGGCCGACAGCCAGACACCCCGTCGGACTCCTTTGTCCACACAGACAGGGGATGGGCAGGCTGGGCTGAGGAGGTGACCGCGAGGGAGGAGGCAGGAGCGGGGTGAGGAGGAGAGAGGTGAACCGTGAGATCCTGCGTGGTCCAGGATGTTCCACGAGGCACAGACAGCCCAGCCCAGGGTGCGCAGGGGGGAGGGCCACGCCCTGTGTCTTTTCTTGGAAAGAGGCTCCCAGGAAGGCGCCGTCTCTGAGGGGAGCTCTGTGGTGGAGGCGGCCTCTCGGCCTGGCCCTCATCCGCGCCTTTTTCATCTTGCTTTGGACATCCTGGTCCTTTGTCTCCTAGAGGGGACAGACTGCGTCTTGCTCCGCCCCGCCTGGGTGCCCGCCGAGGAAGAAGAATGAGGCTCAGCTGGTTGGCTTCCCTTTTTCCAGGTCAAAAACATCCTTCTGAGGAGGAGAAGGGGAAGGACTTTAAACTTTTGGATGGGAGTTGTCATTCATTTCAGGTGTCTATTAACTATTTCATCTAAGAGGATTCTGTGACAACGAGACAGGAAGAACGCTTCAGGACTAGACTTTCCATTTTCCAGTTTATTCCTTCTCCCACCCTTTAGACCAGACCAGACCAAAGAGAGCATTGGACAAGACCAACCAGCAGCCCCCCGAGTCTCCTGGGACGTGTAGAATTTGTCCGCCGTCCCCCGGGCCCTCGGCGCGCACTCTTGTGTTGGGCGGCTCCATTTCTGTGTTGTGCTGGTCGTTGTGCCTTTGTTTTCCTGGCTTTGTCTGCCTTCTCTGCCGCCACGTTTCTCCTCCTCCTCTCGCGGGGCATCCGCATGGGTGTTGGTGCTGTGCTACCGCAGATCGCACCGTTAGGACTGCTTGGCTGTGTTGGGGACCTCTTCTTGTCATTGGCCTCCTTGGGATCTGCTAGGAGAGGGCTGGGGATGCGGTGATGTGTCTTGGTGCTTCTGATGTATATCTCCTGCCGGTCGTAATTTGGGGTGCTTTTTCATATGGTTGCGAAGGAATCTGTCTCTACTATGGGGATTAACTATCATCAGCCAAGTAAACACTTGTGTGTCCATTGTAAGTGTGGAAAGTACCTTTTTTTTTTTTTTTTGGGTGAGGCAGTTGGGGTTAAGTGACTTGCCCAGAGTCTTACAGCTAGTGAGTGTTATGTGTCTGAGGCCTGAACTCCAGGGCCGGTGTTCCGTCCACTGCACTACCTGGCTGCCCCGGAAAGTACTTTCTAAAACATTATTGGAGAAAGCTATTTTGGGTGACAGGTCATTATTTATGTGCATTTTAATGAAGACTGATAGGACTCAGGAGCCCCACAGTTGGAGGTGGTATGGGGTGTTGGATAAGAGTCTTGGGGGCCACCTCTCAGCCTTTCTAAACCTGCCTCAGTTTCCCTACGTGTAAAAGTGAGCAAGGTGGACCGGATGACCTCCGAGGTCCTGCGGACTCTTAGGGTTGGAAGGAAGGGCCCCCCACTCAGGACATCTGGTGCGACCCCTCCTCTGGTGTTGGTGCTCTGTGGTGCACGTATACACGTGGGCGCATGCAGGATGTTGTATTTGTACTTTTCCTCTTAGTGGAAGCGACTGACGCTGTTGGTGTGTGGCCTGCTCCGGGCCAGGCGCTCAGGGTCAGCACTGTGTTCTTCCCCTCAGGATCCCCCGGAGAGACCTGGCCGTGCTTCTCTGCAACAAGTCCAACGCCTTTTACAACCTGGGGAAATGGAACGAAGCCTTTTATGCCGCCAAAGAGAGCCTGCAGTGGGATCCCTCTTACGTCAAGGTAATGCCCTGCCGCGGTGGGCCTGCCCAGGCTCTGCCAGCTTCTCACGGACTCTCTTTGTGCTTTGAACAGGCTCCCTAAGGCCATGAACATTGTCTGGAGGACAAGAAAAAAGTTCTGGCTAAGTAAGGAAACATGGTCACTGTGCTGCTCCTTGCCTTGCTGGGTGACCGGGGCCCACTTGCTCCTTGTTTCTGAGCTGCCACGAGATGGGGGGAGGGGCTTTCCTGCGAGCTTCTAGCTAGCCTGGGCTTCTTCTGCCTTGGCCTTCCTTCTCGGAGCCTCTGGCAAGCAGCCTTTTTGCATCTGGTCAGTCCTTCTTTCAGGCGAAATCAGGCAGGGAGTGAAAAGGAATCATTCAGGTAGCTCTTGTGGGACAGGTGACGTGGCGGCTGCATCGGTGCCTGACGGTCACATCAGCCTGCATTCAGCCGGGAGGTGTTGGGCGCTATTCCTTGTGCGCCATTCCTTAAGCTCTGTGGTGCTGTTGGGGGAGTGGGAGGAGAAGAGGAGGAGCGTCCCCAGATACTCTTAGGGGAGGCAGGACGCACAGAAGAGCGTCAGCGGGAGCCAGCTGTGAGACGGGGATGCCTGCGGGCGGCCAAGTGAGTCCCTGAGGCCTGGGCCGCTGGACGCTCGGAGGCTGAGGGCAGGAAGATGCCTGCTCTGTGCCCTTCGGGGCCCAAGGATGCTTTCCCTGAAGCTTCCAAGGCTCATGCTTGCAGGACTTCTCTTTGGGGGTCAGGAGTCTCTGAGGTCAAAGTGGGTGATGCCCCCCTCTAGGAGGGGCCCCCGAGTCATCCGAGAAGTTGGCCTGCCCACTCCCTAGCCCCTGCTCTGGTTTGGGGGCGAGAAGGGCTTTGGGGACGTTTGCCTTGTGAGCGCCCAGACTGCTGCCGGGCCTCCCCCAGGATGGCAGGGATGCCCACGTGGAGCGAGGGGGGAATCTGCCGTGCCTAGGAAAACAGACCTTAGGAAATAGGGCCTGCCCCTGCTTTGTGAGCCCAAGGCAGAGTGGGCATCCCCTCCTGAGACTGGCTGTGCCCTTTTCCCTAGCGCAGGCCGGTGCCACGTGTTCCGCGGATGGCTGCCTTCTGTCTGCCCCCCACTCCTGCTGGGTTCATTTTCTGCAATACAGAGATCCCCTTGTGTTAACCCTGTGTTACCAAAGCATCCCTTGGCTGCCCATGGCTTGCCACTGATCCACATTCCTGACCTTGGCATTCGAGGCCCTGCAGCCTGGCTTTGGCCCGTGCCCCCTCATAGGCTCCCTCGCCAGGCTCTCTGGACCATTCACGCCTCTCGTTGGAGCTCTTTTCCCATGCACAAGACTCTCTTCTCTGGCTGGTAGCTGGCTGGCCGTCCTTCAAGGCCCTGTGGCCTCAGGCTGGCACGGAGCCTCTGCCGGTCCCTCCTGGCCACAGCTGTCGCGTGTCCCTGCATGAGGCCTGCCCTTCAGCCTGGGGCAGGGTCCTGGCCGGCCGCTTGGGCCTCTCCCACGGTGCCCCGGCCCCTGCTCTGCTGCCTCTCTGCTCACTGTGGACACCACAAAAGGGCAGGCCCCGGTCGGCAGCACTAGCCCGGCTGCCACGGTCACAGGGCCCCGGGAGTGCGTGCATCAGCTCCTTCTGTTTATCACCCCCTGCCTTCCTGCACACATGCAGAGCCCACTCTCAGAGGGCGTGGGCTCACGGTCCTCCGGCCCCCCATGGCCTGTCCCGTGTCCAGAGAGGACACGCCCCGGGCACCGCCTGCCTCCCCTGCCCTCTTCTTGCCTGGACCCCCGGGGCTGGGCCTTTCTCGCAGCCCACCTCTTCTCCTCTCTCCTCTGCTGTCTCCGCGTGCTCAGCATGGCCCTGGGCTCGGGGCTGAGCGCGGCCGCTCTGTGAGGCCTTCGCGAAGGCTGAGCTGGGCCGGCCCGCGTCCAGGGTGCAGAGTCCAGGCCCGGGATTGGGGATAGGGACGTGCGGCGCGGTGCGCTCTGGTGCTTGTGGTCCTCCTCCCGGGGAAGGGCTGGGCTCCAGGGACTCTCCCGCCTCCCTTCTCTGCTGCAGGGCTACTACCGGGCCGGCTACTCGCTCCTGCAGCTCCTGCAGCCCTACAAGGCCGCGCAGATGTTCCTGGAGGGCCTGCGCATCCTCCAGAGCTCCCCAGACCAGGTGCCGATCTCCGACCTCATCGTGGGCATCTTCACCACCATCAGCGGTACGTGGGGGCCGTGCCTGTGTGCTTGGGTAGGGTGGGGCTGGGGGCAGCGGGTCACGGGCCCGACCCCTGAACCTGCGCCTTCTCGGGCGGGGGTCGCCACTGTTGGTGGCTTCTTAACCTTGGCACCAACTCCTCCCGAGTCAGCGTGCCTTGGCCCAGTGTTGGCCCTGAGCAGGAGGCAGCTCTCTGTTGGTTCTGTTTTTTGACTAGTCAGTGGGTTAAGTGAGTTGCCCAGGGTCACACAGCTAGTAGGTATTATGGGTCTGAGGCCGAATTTGAGCTCAGGTCCTCCTGAATCCAGGGCCGGTGCTCTGTGCACTGTGCCACCGAGCTGCCCCCTACATCCCCTTCTTTCGAGAAGGTTCTCAGGGCATCCGGGTGACAGCGGGCAGACAAGGGGGCAGGCGGCGGTGGGAGCTGCTGCATCCCCTTGGAGTCCCTGGAGAGCTTGTGGGCAACAGTGACCCTCAGGGATGCAGGCGGTCTGCTGAGCGCGCCCCCATCCCGTCCCCTCTCCTTGGGAGCTGAGGGGCGCCGGAGACCTGAGCAGGCGGTTCTGAAAACCTGCTTTTCCGGGGCGTTACGACTGCTGTGTTTGGGGTCTAACCTGCGTTGCCTCTGTTTCCCCGTCTGCCAAATGGAAATCATCTCTTTCCTACCCGTGTCATAATGTGGTTGTTATCAGTGAACTCTGTGAGAAAAGAGAATGCCTTTTAAGGCATTAAAAGGACAGACACTCTTAACGGGAGGAAGGAGATCGTTAAGGAGAAGAGAATTCGTCTTTGGCGATGTCCGGAGCTCCGTGGGTTGGCCGAGGACCCGCTTCGGACGGGCATGAAGAGAATGGTGCCTCCCGCTGCGGCGAGCCCATCTCTGCCCCCGGAGTCCTGGCCTTCAGGGCCCCACGCTCACCGAGCCTTCTTTGGCCTCATGTCCCTCAGGAAATATGGAATTGGGACCCGCTCCGACCTTGGGAGGGAGGGGGGCCGCCCGGCTCCCGGAGGTGCCCGCGGGACCGTCAGTGCCAGCTGGGGGAGTTGTTCTGGTGCTGCCCCTCCCCCGGCCCCACTGCCTCCGGGCTCGCCCTGCCCCCCTTTGTGGACGGCCTCTGTGTCATCCGCAGTCCCCCTGCTTACTGGACGCAGACTCCCCCTCCCCCATGGCTCCGTGTGCCGCAGCATCGCCCGCACCACGCTGTGGCGAGAGGCCACGCGGGCCCCCGGTCCCGCTCGCTGGTCGGACGCGCTGTTGGACGTGCCTTCTCGCCTTCCAGGGGAACATGTCATCCTGCGCAGCTTCTTGCCCTTCTTCGAGAAGATCTTCAGTGTGGGCTTCGACGCGAGCGTTTGGCAGGCGGTCATCGAGAAGCTGGCCAAGAAGGGGCTGTGGCACGTGAGTGGGGCGGGGCGGGCGTGAGGGGTGGGGGGGGGTGGAACCTCACCAGCCTGCGACGTCCCAGGTCCCAGAGTGGAGCAGGCCATCCCCATGAGCTGGCAGCTCCCTTCCCCTGAATCACCTTCCTCTAGAGCAGCCTGGCTCTCTGGGACTCTGGGACCCCTGGGGTGTTCACCAGCTCTTCTCCCCCCTAGTCCTTCCTCCTGCTGTGCACTAAGAAGGATAAGTTGCCCCGTGACCTGAGGGTGCCCGACCTGTCCCTGAAGGGTCTCTTTGAGGTATGGGGGCTATGCCTGCGGGGCGGGGCGCGCTTTCCCCTGCTCCTGCCCCTCGCTGGTGGGAGGGCACCATTTCCCGTCCCGACCCCTCCGCTGTCTCTCCCCCATCCCATGTCTCTCCTGGCTCATCTGAGGCTCTCCCGGGGGCTCCCCGTGAGTCGCCCTGGCCTCAGGCTGTGATTTGTGCCAGCGGCGTGGGGGGTCGGCAGTTTACCCTGGGGGGCGTTGCCGAGCGTGAGATCCACGCTGATGCTCAGCGAGGCCTTCGTGTGTCCCCAGAAATACGTCCTCTTCGGGCACTACGAGAAGATGGAGCACGTGCCGAAGCTGGTACAGTGGCTGATCTCGCTGGGGGCCAGCGTCCAGAGCATCGGGCCCTACCCCCTTCACGCCATCATGAAGCTCTGCATCCAAGCGAGTGAGGGTCCCTGCGCCCCCCCCCGCCCCCCGGCCGGTGGGTCCTTGCAGGGGACAGGGTTGGCCCCCTGGACCAGGGGCAGGACGTCCGCCCTGGTAACGTGTGTCCGTGGGGAGGGTCCGGCTGGGCCTCAGGAGCCTCCCAGGTCCGCCTGCCTCGCCCGCGGTGGCACTCTCTCCCTCCTGCTTCCAGGTGGGATCTGGGTTCCTTCCCCGACTCTCCTGCCTGGCCCGGGCCTGAGCTTCTGTCCAGTCAGAAGGTCACGGGGTTATTTTTGAATTTGCTTCAGAGGAAAACCACCTGTTCCGGTGGCTGATGGACCAGAAGCCCGAGCTGAGAGCAGACATTAACCAGACGGATGCCGACGGCTGCACCGTCCTGCACGTCGTTGCCTCTCACTGCTCCGGGTACCTCGGCAGACGTAAGGAGTCGGGCTGGGCCCTGGGGGGGGAGGACACCCCAGGCTCCCGCGAGCGTCCAGAGCCCCACCCCTAGCTCTGAGCTGCCTCCCTGGGGGGGAAGGGCAGGGCTCTGCTGGTGCCTCCTCTGTGGTGGTCTGTGGACTGGAGCCACAGGGCAGGGAAGAGCCTGCCACTGATGGTGTGCCCAAGGGTGGAAAGCCACAATCTGTAAGGAAAAGTTTCAGAAAGAGCCACAGCGTTGGCCAGGGTCTGCTGGGCAGCGTCTAAATTGTTCATGAGCTCACCTGGTGGGGGGTGGTCTTTGTCAGTCAAGCGTTTGCTGGATGCTCCCCCAGGCCGGGGGCTGGGCTATCTCTTCACCCCAGGGAGGCGCTGGGTGAGCCTGCGCATTTCTGTCATCACTGGGGAAGGCCAGGAGGGTCATAGAAGGGGTGCAGGCTCGGGAGCTAGGGGAGCGGGCCATCGGGGCTGGCCGTTCAGAAGCGTTAAGTGTTAAGCATGTTGGGCTGCCGGGCGTGGCGCTGGCCAGGCTGCCCCAGAAGGAAGACAGGGAGGGTGGCAGGCCCCGGCTCCCAATACCACACCGCATCAGCGGGCGTGGGGTCAGCAGGACGTGGCTGACGAGCACAGGCCTCTGCGTGTTCCCAGGGCCCCGGACCTCAGGCAGCTCGCGGCACAGCTCGGCACAGAGCTCGTCTGGGGGAGGCCGTCTGGAGGAACGCCGCGGGCCGGCCTCCCCCTGGGCTGAGCTCTCCCTGAGGTCCCTGCCTCGCGCAGCCCCCTTCGTGACGCCTGCTCGGCTCTTGTCCGAGACGCCCAGACGTCGGGGAGGCACGAGCCTGTCCTGCTCGTCTTTCTTGCCGGCCCCTCTGCCGTGGAGACCCTTCATCCCGTGAGCTGCTGGGCATCCTCAGAAGGCCCTGGGGCCTGGGCCCTGCAGCCTTAGCCCTAACCCTGCGTGCCCCGGTCACGGCCCGACCTCAGGGGACGGCACTGAGGCTCGGGGACGGTCCCATACGCGGATTTGTGTTGGCCAGCCCAGCTCTCTGGCCGATCCCTTTGTTCTGTCTGCCCTCGAGTTGAAATGGAGCATTTCCTCCAGTTCTTTAAAGACACGGTTCAGAGAAGGGAGTGTTAGCTCCCCATCCTGCCTGCCAGGGGCCCTAGTGGCTGATGGCGAGAGTGGGGAGAGGAGCCCGGGAGGGGCGGGGCTGGGGGCCTAGTGACAGACAGCAGTCACGAGGATGCAGCATCTGGAGGACAGAGGCAGAGTCCCCATCGCGTCCGTCAGCATGTCAGGGCCCCAGCACCAGCGACTGTGACAGTGCCTCTAGATGTGGTCCTTGGGGGAAGGAGGGGCCCTGGCTGGTGGGCCTGCAGGTCGTGGGGGCTGGGGCTTCGCGCTGGCTGGATTTCCTCTCGCCCTGGATAGTTCCTTCGCTCGAGGGTCTGTCACGTGGCCCAGCTTGTCCCCCGTCCCCCTTGGGCAAGCCCCCCCCCCCATGTTTCCTGTTTTTACCTTAGAGCAAAGGGAAGTGAAACGTTTCTCAGTCTCTGATGCGGGTGCTTGTTGCTAGGCAACAGCGTTGCCTGGTAACCTGGTTCTCTCACTTTCTGCTGCCAGGGAGCAAACTGGACCAGTCGCTGGGCCGGATGGTTTGGGGGGGGTGGCATGATGTCACGTGTGGGTCCCGTCTTCCTGGGGTGAGTGAGTGGGGGGGGGGGGCCCCCCCCCCCCCCGCCGTGACCCTGGCGGTGACCTGTTCTTCCTGTCTCCAGGCCAGACCGAAGATGTGCAGATGCTCCTGTACTTGGGGATAGACCCCACCATTGTGGACAAGCAGGCGCGCTGCGCCATTGATATCCTCAAGCGCAACAAGAACTTCAAGGCCGTCGACAAAATCAACTCCTTCTTGGATAGCCGGAGGCGGGGCTGCGCCAAGGGCGCTTCAGGTACATGCAGTGTGCGCGTGCGCCTGCTTGGGCCGTGAAGGCCAGTCCTGCTTTGGGGGTCTGCCGTGGCCCTCCCGTGTCAGTGAGGATTTTATTATGGCCTCAGCCACCATCCATGGGGCCAGCCTGGAGCCAGGGACCCTCTGCTGTTGCCCATGCAGCCCTCTCCCTTCACATGGAGGAGACGGAGGCCCAGAGAGGCTGTTTCTTGTCCAAGGTCACGTAGGTCACGAGTGGCGGGTCTGAGATTCGAACTCGGGTCCTGTGCCTCCAAAGTCAGAGTTCTTTCCCAGGTGCCACGCTGCCTCTGGTACTCAATGGGTTTCTCCCAAAGCCCCTCCCCGTACCTTGCACTTTCTGGGGAGCCTCAAGGGAGGCTCTTGGCGCCTCTAGCCCCCATTTCTCGGGTTAGTTCATACTGCTTGCCTTCAGACACCTTCTCCCTCTTCAGGCCAACAAGGGAGGGCTTGTGGCGCCCCCTGCAGCTCAGTCACGGTCATAGAAATGCCCACACCTGACGTGGTGTAGGGCGTTAGCCAAGGTTTGTCCATTGGCTGCTTGGCGTCCCCTCCCTTCTGCCCTTCACCTCCTGGAATCCCCGGGTCGTGCTGCCTCTCCCAGAGGCCCCGCCTAGTCTCTCCCGTGGGTGGGGCTTTCTGCCTCTCAGCATCCGTGGCCCTTCCTTCCCTCTGCCGTGTCCCCGTGGCAGGGGGACACTCAGTTTTGACCTTGTATCCCCAGGGCATGGTACACAGCCAGTCTTACTGACTTTCTCTGACCCTCACAAATGCGTCTCCTCAGAGAGGTCCAGACCCCAGAATGGGCCTGGCGGGGCCCAGGACTCACGCGTGCAGTCGTGAGCTGCGTGGTTTGCATTTTGACCAACCTTGGGCTGTTGGGCCACCCTGTCCGGGCTCACCCCTTCTGACCGTCTTCTTTTCTCCCCCCGCCTTTGGGGTCTGCTCATGGCTGTGGCTGCCGCAGCTGTGGCCAGTGTGGTCGGGTGTCTGCACTCTGTGCTGCTTCCTGGAAGGCCCCTGCTGTTTCCTTGCAGTCTTCCTAGCCGGCCTCTGATGGGCATGGATGCTGCTTCTGTTCCCAGCTGTGACTAGCTGACCTGCTAGGAATACTTTTTCTGCCAAAAGGAGGTTTTTCTTCCTGCCCACGTCCCCTTAGCTGTGAATGCCTGTGGCCAACAGTAGGGACCGGGCTGTGCTGTGATACCCCTTCACAAAAAGATGGGGCCCCGCCGTGGCGCCACCGCCGGGGAGGGCGTGTCTTTCTTCATAGCTGCGCCATCATGGACCTTCCAGGCTTTGAACCCTCTTGGTGGGGTTAGGGGGTCAGGGAGAGTGCTTACCGTTCCATTTCTCCAAGTCTAGACGCGGTTAATCTGGGCGGTTACCGATAATTGGCTTGTCTTGCTCTGTGGACTGCCTTTCACGCTCTGTGGACAGTGGGTCTGCTCTTACAAGGCTGGGCCCCTCGTTCCCGATTCTGGGGGTCCAGCTTTTCTCAGACTTGTTTATTGCATGCGCCCCTCCCGCCTCCGTCTCTCCCCTCCAAAAATCCTGGGTGTTATTTTTGTTGTCCCAAAGCTCTTTGTTTTCACATAATCAAATCCTCTTGTGTCCTCGGATCCATCTGTTTTCATTCATTCAGCATCCAGGTATTTATCAAACGTCTGCTGTGTGTGCTAAGGCTGGGGACAGAAACCCCAGAAGGAAGTAATGCCTGCCCTCAGGGAGGTTACTGGTGGGGGGGTAGGGAAGGAGGGCACACAAAGTACACAGAAAAATAAATGCATAGGAGGTGCAAAATGCTTGGGGGGATAAGCACTAGCAGTGGGGTTGGGGATCGAAAGGCTGCTTTGGAGACATCTTCGAATGCTGTGAGGCAGAGTTGGGGGGTCCTGCAGTTAGGGCATGACATGCATGAAGGTCCAGCAAAGGATACAGAGAAAGAGTGGTCAGTGAGGTAGGAGGAGAACCAGGAGAGACCAGGAGTCCTAAAAACCTAGAGAGGTGACAGTATTGTCACAGTTAAAATCAGGTAAACTGAGGCACAAAGTTCTGAGCATACCAGTTTATTAGTAAAGCGAGAGTTCACCAGGACATGGGAGCTCCCCTTCCCCAGTAAGGCCAAGACCCAAGGTGGGGACAGCTCTTTTACAGTTTTGGGGGGTACAGAACGAAGAACGGGGCATTGGGGGCAGGGAACAAGGTATGATTGGGCACGGGGCGTGGGGGACAACAGGAGAGGTTGGAAATTGGGAGTGAGGGGCTGCCAACAAGCCCCTCCTTCCCTCCCGTGACTAGTGAGTTCATTGTTTGAGTCCAGTTTGAAGTCAGAGGGAGGGGGCCTGGCTCCCGGCTCCCGGGCATCCTTGAAGGATGGCTCGGTGGACCAGCCCCCCGCATCCCCCAGGGACAGCCGGCTTCCTTGAGGCAAGAATGGAATGGTGATGAGCAAGAGGACTGGCTTTGTAAACTCCCCCGGCACAGGCCAGCTGAATTCTGAGCTCAGTTCAGGACCAAAAACCACGACTGGGGCAGGCACAGGACAAGATGGATGAATTGTAGAGAGTCAGTCTGATGGTTTCAGCGTCAGGAAGGAAAGCTGGTCAGTAGTGTCAGAAGCCAGAGGAGAATGAGGATTGAGAAAAGGCCTTGGGATTTATCCATTAAGAGAGAGCACTTTCATTTGGATGATGAGGTTGGAAACCAGGATGCAGAGAGCTCAGAGAGAAAGTGGAGGCCCCTGGTGTAGATGGCCTTTTCTGGGCCCTTGCCCACCAAAGGGAAGAGAGCTATGGGACATTAAATAGCTAGGGGGGATGAAAAGGTCCAGTGAGGATTTGTTGAAGGTGGGGGAGACATGGGCATATTTGTAGGCAGGAGGGAAGGCTCCAGTAGAGAGGGAGAGACTGAAAATAAGTGAGAAAGGTGGGGATGAGAGGGGACAGACTGGAAGGGGCTCACTTGTTAGCATGGAACATAGGTGTGAAGGAAGAGTGAGGGGCAGAGGGCTCCTGAGTGATGGAGGAGAGGAGGAGGTGAGAGGGGCAGCTCACTAGACCGGTGACTAGAGGAGCCAGGGGAGGTTTGAGGAGGTGAGAAGGCCTGGAGGGTGGGGGGGCCTGAGGAGGGGGGCAGAGCAGGATTGTCAGGCAGCGGCGAGGGCCCCGGGGTGGGGCTGCGAGCGACTCCGGGGAAGAGGATGCTGGCGCTGCCTTGGCACAGCGAGGGGGCAGAGCGTGGTCAGTGCAGGGGAGACGGCCTGGGAGAGAATCCAGGGTGAATGTTGAGAATGGAGGGCAGGGTCACGGTTGGGAAGGTGCAGGCGGGAAAGCCAGTAGATTCTGGGCGGCCAGGGGGATTTCGGAATTCTTGAGTGTGGAAGTAGACCTGTGGGTGGTGCAAGGCCAAGGGTGTGGCTGGGGTGGGTGCGGGGCAGCTCTGGGAGGCTGTTTGAGGGAGAGTCAGTATGTGTGTATGCCCTTAGTGCGAGGGGAGACTGCAGCTGGCACTGAACTTGGCATGGGCAGGGAGTGCCCCAGGGTCTGAACTGTGGGGGACGGGAGCGAGAGAGGAGGAAGAAAAACAAAGTGACAGAGGGGCTCCTAGGCTGCCCACCGTGGGGTTGGGTTGGCAGTCCAGCCTCTCTTCCCCTCCTCTGGCCTCTCCAGGGCTGGCCTG